GTTTCATACTTTTAGGTCTTACCTATATAAATGCTTTTTTAGATAGGGTAAAGATTTGACTGCATGTTTTTGCATACGGGTATCCAGTTTTCCAAACATCATGTTTCCAAACCTCTCCCTCATTGAATAGTCTTGATTCCTTGCCAGATACCACAGACCACACACAGCTAACTGGGGTTCTAGTCTGTCACTGGTCTGTGTCCATCTTTATGCCAGTACTGCAGTTTTGATTTTGTTACATGTGCACTAAGTTTTGAAACCATGGTGTGTGAGACCTCTAAATCTACTTTAGCATGATTATTTTGCCTCTTTGGGGTTTCCTTGAGATTCTCTGGGAATTTTAGGATGGGTTTTTCTTTTTTTTTCTTTTGGTACCTGGGATTGAACTCGGGTCCTTGCGCTTGCGCAGCAGGCAGTGAAACCACTGAGCTAAATCCCCGCTTGCGGGGGGGAAACGACACTGGGGGATGAGAGTGTAGTTCATGGCAAAGCACTTGTCCAACACACACAACACCCCGGGTCCCAGCCCCAGCACTGCAGAAAGATATTAGGGATTATGCTAGCAACTACAGTGAATAAGTAGATCGCCTGGGCAGTACGGACGCAACAGTAATTGTTCCAGTCCAAAACATAGTCTGTCCTTTCATTTATGTGTCATCATTAATTCAGTAACATTTTGTAGTTTCCAATATATGTCTTTCACCTCCTTAATTTGTAGTTTTTACTGTATTTGATGCAATCAAGAATGGAATTCTTTTTTTTTCTTGCTGACTTTATTCCCACAGCATAAGTTATTTCTTTGGTTTCTTCTGGGATGTCCTTTGCTTCTGAAGAAGCTCCTCTTGTGGTCTAGGAACAGTTTATCCCTTCTCAATAAGGATTATCTCAGTGCACTGTGGATTCACCCATTCATGAGCTGAGTGGGCAGCTTAGGTGCTTGGTTCACTGGGTTGTGTCCAATGGGCAGAGAATCCAGTCCTCTCACTGAACCCTTTCCACGTTCAGCATTATTACTCTGTGTTCCAGCGGATACAGCAAAATCCAGGGATCCTTTTTGGCTGTCCAGCCCCACTGTTTGACCTGACCTACCTCTCCCAGCACTGTGGTGACGGAATGACCTACAAGCCTGCTTGACAGTCACTGTAAAGATTTGGACCTCTTGATTCGTCTGATTTGGGGGGTTTTCAGGGTCAAGTGAATAGCAAACCATTCGCACAAACCTCAGGCCACTTATGGGCAGAGCTGTATTTGTTTTGCACAGCCTTGCCACATCATTCACCTTAAAATATGGAAACACTGGTCTTAGTTGTTGTCTTTGCTGAATTTATTAGTTTTATCAGTTTTGTGGAATCTATAATTTTCTGTATATGGTATCACTTGTAAGCAAAGATCATTTTACTTCAATTTGGATAACTTTTATTTCTGTTACCTAGTTATTCTGATGAGTTGTTCCTGATAATCAGAGAAAAGCTTTCAGCCTGTCATTGAATACTATGTTTGCTGTGGGCTTTTGCTCTCTGGCCGTCATTTTGAGGTAGTTTCCTAGTTTACTGCTTTGTTTTTTGAGACTGGACCTTGCTACATGATTCAGGCTGGCACGGAACTCACTCGAGCCCAGGCCAGGCTGGAACTCACAATCCTGCCTCAGCCTCCCAAGTGCTGGGATTACGTACATGGGCCACAATGCGCAGCCTTGAATTGTTTTTTGGTACCGGGCATCGAACTCAGGACCTTGCGCTTGTGAGGCAGGGGCGGTGCCACTGAGCTAAATCCCCAGCCCCCTTGAATGGTTTTATTGTGAAAGGGTGCTGAGTTTTGTTGAATGTTATTTTCTGTACCAACTGAATTGATCAAGTGGTTTCCACATTCTGCAAATGTGGTATGTCAGTTGATTTTAATGAGCTGTTGAAATCTATTCTTTTGCTTGACAGTACTATCTGTGGAACCCAGGGCTCAGCCATTGTTACTGAGACGGAGTCTCCCCAAATTCCCCAGGCTGGCCTTGGACTTGCATCCTCCTGATTCAGCCTGCAGGTAGCTGGGATCACACACGTGTGCTGTTAATTAGTATTTTAGGCTTTGTTGTATTCTTTTCCTTTCCTCCTTTCAGGATTCCCCTGACTTTTGAAAGTTTATCTTCGTGTGAGTCTTCCGGTTCTGGTTATTGGTTTTTTGTTTTGTTTTGGAGACAGTTGCTATGTATTCCAGGCTGCTTCACCACCACCACCACCACCACCACCACCAGGGATCAAACTCAGGACTTTGAGCTTTCGAGGTAGGTTGAGTGACACTGAACTAAATCCCTGGCCCTGGCCTTTTTGAGACAAAGCTTCACTGTGTAGCCGTCTGGCCCTGACCTCACAGCGACACTCTTGCCTCAGCCTCCCCAGTGCTGGGATCACAAGTGTGCGCCACCATACCCAGCCCTTTTATGTAATGCTGCTGATACTGTTTTGTTCGTAAATCATCCTCCTGATTTTGTGTAGTTGCCTTAAATTCCTTATAAAGTGTGTCAGAGGTCTGTGCTTAAGTTCGACTTCAGAGGATTTATTTCCATTTGGGAACCATGTTTCTTTTCTCTTCCATACTTTGTGTTCTTTTGTTGCAATGTGGGCATTTGAAACACAGCTGCCTCTCCTCATCTTCCTCCCTGGCTCAGATCTTTCTGTTTTTTGGTACCTGGGATTGAACTCGAGTCCTTGCACTTGCGCAGCAGGCGGTGAAACCACTGAGCTACATCCCCGGCTTGGCTCAGATCTTTCACCAATCAGCCCAGCTTAACCGCTTGTGGCTCTGCAGACCTTTCCTGCTGGTGCATTTACTTGGGCTGTGTTTTGTCTTCGGTTTCCTTGTACCGTGCAGGACTTGCTCTTACCGCCAGGCTCCCTGTGCCCCGCGATTCCTTCCGCAGCAAAGACCACCACTCTCGGAGCACGGCTTCTAAGGCCGCAGATCAGGAACTTGGATATTCTTACTCAAAGGCGCAGCCTTTACTGTGCAGCAGTGCACCTTCAACATCTGGAAAATGCTGGAAGTTACAGATGTTTAATTGCCAAAATATAAAAAGTTGGCAAGGAGTCATTTGGTGTCCATTCTCTTGCTGGACGATTCTGGATGGAGCCGACAGATACAAGGTAAAACCTCAGTGGTTCTCTTTCAAGTTTGCTAACAGATTTGCTTTCCTCCTTGTGTTATCAGTTGTGCATATTTTGGCATTTCATAGGTTTTGGCACATTTCAGACTATTTCTGAGTATTTCTAGACCTGTGTTTTTTCACCCCCGTACCAGGGATTGAACTCAGGACCTTGCGCTTGGAAGGCCGAGCTAGATCCCCAGCCCTGTAGCCCTGTATTCTTGTGGTTATGTGCCCTCCAATTCTGCGTGGCCTTTAAAACATGAACTACACCACAGCACCTGCCACACCAACGTCACCTCTTCCTTCACAGTTTCCTTTGAGTTTTGCAAACTTATCCAAACTTTTGAAATATTCTTTCCTGATATTTCTCTTAGACTTTTCTGTGTTTAGAGAAGTATGTGGTGGTCTTGGGACACAGCTACCCCTTATGGACCTGTCCCTCAGCCTGGCGAGACGAAACCTCTCCAAGGACACGCTTGTCTCTGTGGGCTGAAGCCAGGGCTGAGGTGTGGCAGCGTCCCCACCACATTCGCTGTCACCCTTCCTCAAGCCCTCACAAGCCAGCTCAGGCGATCCCCCCACGGGAGCCACTGTCTTAAACTCCCTGAACATTCTCTGGCAGCTGGATCCCCGCCCGCCTCTCAGATTATGTAAATCCTACATGTACTGAGAAGAGGCCGCAGCATACAGAAGTGCGTCCATACCCGATGCTGTGGTTGGCGTGCTCCCGAGGTGAGATGGTGTGCACCCGCAGTCCTGGTTCTTCGGGAGGCAGAGGCCAGTCTGGGCCACACAGTAAGACCCAGCCCTGGCAACTCAGCAAGGGCCTATCTCAGAAGGCAGCCGGCTGGGGTGTTGCTCAGTGCTAGACCAGCTGGGGCTCAGCCTCGAAACACAAAGCCTGCCACATGTGACTTCCTACTCAGGTCCGCTGAACAATTTTACCCTACTTCATCTGATTTTATTTTCCTAACATTTTGAGTAGAAATTTGTTAAGTTGTAAGATAAACTGTGAAGTTACAGATTGTAATTAGATATTTAAATCGTCCTGTGTTTTGCATGATAGGAGTCATCACTAAAAATGTCAGGAAGGTGGTGCTCTAAGTGAATTCAGGTGAGTCCTTGAAAGAAAAAAACCAGGATTGAAAGAAAACATTTATTGAATCAAAATCAATACTTTCTTTTTTAATATCTACAAGCCAACAATGAATTCACTTCATTCAAGAATGAACACAAATGTACAAAAAAAGTATGCTTATATTATAAAAATATGTCAATTTTATCTCCTGGGTGCTGAGCAGAAGTCATTTTAAACAAAATCAAGGCCAACTTGTTCCCTATAACGAAACCTCTCCAATTTCCTAACCGAAGTGAAAGCGGATGTAGAGCCCGCTGATGCTGCTGCCCCACTCAGAGGCGGACGCTGGCCCCCCGGCTCTCAGGCACCACTACCTGCCTGCACAGGAAGGCACCTCTTCCACCCAACACATCACTGCTAGCACAGTCTTCCTGCGGCTTCTCTTGCTTAACAGTTGTTAGCATCTATTTCAGCAAAGTAGTAACAGGATAAAGAATTCTGAGCACAAAAATCCTACTTATTTAATCAGCTTCAATTTAAAAATGAGATCCACTGCTATGGACAACAAACGACCTCTCAAGATTTTACAATCCCATTTATGAAGGTGGGAAAGCTGCTGCCCTCCACTCTCAAACATCTTTAAAGCCTCCATAGGAAAAATGTATGACCAGGGTTAGCATCTCCGTCACGCCACTCACCGGCACCTTTGCAGCACCTGGCCTGGGCTGTGCGGCGAAGGCCCGCGCGCTCCTGCTCCCGTGGAGCACAGTTCGCGTGCTCTAGTGATGGGGAGACATGAATACCGAAGTCCTCAAGAGCTGAGGCAGAGGGACAGTGGCTCCTGGATGCTGTTCCAGGAGTTATGTGACAATACAGAACACTGCTCTCCCCATGCTGACAAAGCCAAGGAAACCCCGTCCGTGCACGGCGGTGTCCTGGAGGAGGAGTGGCAAGGGCACGCAGGCGAATCCTGGAACGCAGCATCCATAGTGAAGTAAAGACAACAGATGGATTAAAGGGTAAATTACTCAACTGCCTCTCTCTGCTTGGCATGGACACATCTGAAGGCCCAAAACTGCAAGATACAAGGATCTCCTCCTGGTTCACCACTCTGCTGGGTAAATAAAGCAACTTCAGAAATGCTTTGTTTTACATAAACCAAAGGTTTCTTAAATTACCTGGGACTAAGCTTTTCCCTGGGAAAGGGGCTAAATGAAGGCAGAAGAGAAAACTATCGTGTTCCTCTATGCAAACACTAATCCCTTATAGCTCTCTAAGTTTTCCATTAAGCGCCATTTCCTGCATGAAATGTTAACCCTACCAAAGGTAGATAGGCCTGAACTGGACATAGGATTTAAACATTTAATACTACACTGACTCTGGCTTAATTTAACCCTATGCTCTACTACATGACAGAAGCATTTATAGAAATATTTGAAATACACAAAATTTGTGAAAGATAAACATTTTGGAACCTGAGCAAAGGCTTCTTACCAATACCATAAAAAGTCACCGTACTGGTCGTTCTCACAGGCAGCGATTCAGCCAGGTCAGTGTGCTGCTTTTGGCAACTTAGCCAAACTGAAGCCCAATACACTGCTGCCAGAAACAACTGGATACCAGCACATTACACAGAAGACATAGAAAGGGAACAAGAGCCCAAAGAATGAACAGCTGGCAGGATGAAGGCGCTGCTCAGAGTTGCCGGGATGGGTCTCCCCACAACATACCTGTTCACTACCACACGTCCTAGCCCTCAAAGTACATGTGCTGCACACTTACACCGAAGGCATGCCTTGGGGATGCCAGCCTTTCTCTTACTGCAGTTCTAGTCAGACAGACCAAAAAGTCAAGACGTCTGGAAATAAGCTACCAAGTTAGCTTTCTCTGTGGACGACTGACACGACTTGGTGCCACAGCAAAACTCTCTAATAGCAGCAGTACCAGCCCGTGGCAGAAGAGAAACACTCATTTCTCACATCCCATGGGCCACCACATCAACTCCATCAAGCATGCAAATATCTATTCTGCTGAAGTTTCAAACAAATATAAACGATCATTGTGCTTGTGGGTCTCATACCTTCCCAAGGTGGCAAGTTAACTTAGCAGTAAAATCACAGGGCGGAAATGAAATGTCTACGATGGGAAAACTGCGGGCTGGTGCCGGCAGTCCCAGAACATATCATGCTCAGTAGGGTCAGACCCTCCCGCCCGCGCCCTGGGCACTGCAGTCCTGTCTCGAGTGCCCACAGCGTGGTCTCAGGGCAGAGCAGCAGCATCACTGGCGTGGTCGCAGGGGTGGGCAAGGTGCCCGTCAACTTCTTTTGTAGTTAAGGACGAAAGAATGCAATCACAAGACAAAGTGACAGAGTAGTGGGCAGAGAAAATATCGAAGTTCACAATGACCTGTAAAAGCAAAACAAGAATTCAAATTATTTTCACACTTTCAGGCTTTATCTTTCTTAAAAGCAGTCTGTGTTTAAGTGCTAACCCTGCAATCACTTCAGTGTGCATGAGACTGTTTGATGCCTGTAGTTAAAGGATCAACCTCACTCCTTGTTTCAAAGATGCACGCAAGTGTATCCTGTCATAAGACTCGGGCGAAAGTCTCCCCTCCACCCCCAGGGCAGTGGCCGCCTCTGCCCCGCGCCCCGCCTCCCCGCAGGCTCGGGGCGGTGCCCGCACTCACTGGGAGCCCGGCCGGCCAGCCCGGGGCTACCCCGCCTTGGTGTCCACCAGCTGCAGCTGCACGTTGGCTGCCAGCCCGCCCCCGCCGTAGCCGCCCTTGGACTGCATTTGGTTCTGAATGGAGCTGACCTGGAACAGAACAAACAAGTCAGATGTCACAAGTCGCATGCAGGCAATGGAATGGTGCTTTTTCCAGAAGGTACTTTTACAGACAGAAATATCGAGTTTTTTTAATAGACTTCGAATTTTTGTTTGTAAGGGCAAAGTACAAGTCTAGTGAATGGAAGATTTTTTGCAACAATTTCCTCCCCTATACTTCTCAGTTAAGTCAGTTGGGTAACGTACGAGGCACTTGGAAACACTTTTGAATAGTGAGAAAAAGGAAAAAGCCCACAAGTCAACTCAGCTTTACTTTCCGTGATCTCAAGTGTCTTGTCCTGCACAGCCCTCACACGTGTGACCACCTCGGGTAAGGACTCCAAAGCAAGAAAACAGGCACGGACGGCCTTGGACCAGCCAGAGAAACCTCAGTCCATGTGGTCCAACACAGTACAGGAGCCTAAGGGGCCACGAATGGATCATTTTTTGTTTTGTTTTTTGTGGTACCGGGGATCAAACTGTGGCGCCACTGAGCTAAATCCATGGCGATAATTTTTTAAACTGGTAAGAACAGATACTACACTTACTCTTAGCCAAAAGGCTGAGGAATGATAATTTTTTAATATAACTGGGTGAACTACTTTGGTTGAGGCAATAATCTCTCCTAACCACCTTGTAGGGCTATTGTCTGATAGATCCTAAGATATTCAAGTGCTGGGTATTGTTCTTCTCTGTGGAAACACACACACAGTCCTTTGCAAACTGAAATGACTCTAGTTTATCACTGCTGTCCCAATCCTAGTTCAGGTGAGAGACTGAGCACAGAGAATAGCTGGCACCAGACGGCTGGTGACAGGGGCACGGCAGGAAGAGTCCGAGGCCCCGCGGGCCACCGTACCACTCGGCGGCGGCAGCTTGGGGCCACACTCCCCCTCCCCGGAGACAAAGCCTGCCTGTGAAGTGTTTTTCCACTGGCCACCCTGAGCCAACATGTTCACAGAAGGTAACAAGACTTGCTAAGCTATGGCAGATTCAAATATGCCAGTAGAATAGCAATAGATGAAATTATGCAAGTAAAAAGGTACCTCTTACACATTTTACTGATCTGGAAATTTTACTTAGGTGGAAGAGCTTACTCTATTTTTTCTTTTTTGTATCAGAGATCGAACTCAGGTCCTTGTGCTTGCAAGGCAGGCGGCGGAACCACTGAGCTAAATCCCCGGCCCTGAAGAGCTTACTCTAATATCACATAACAAGGTGTAACTAGAGTATATTCATATTCATCAAATGACTAAAACTAGAAAAACAAATTTACAGCCTATTTTTTAAGGCCTCCAAGTAAACTTGCTCAGTTAATCCAGCTTGAGTGGCTTTGGCCACCATATGTTAATCTTCGTTCATTATCTGCCAGACACAGTAACTAACACACCTGTGTGGCACACACGTGGATCCCACCCTGATACCAAGTAATTTTTCACCTGCCACAGCATCTTAGCTTTTATAGATATTTTGGCTTTTCAGACAGGGTCTCGCTGTGTAGCCCAGGCTGGCCTCAAATTCACAATGATCTTCCTGCCTCAGCCTCCTTAGGGCTGCGATTACAGGCGTGCACCACACGTGGCTGGGCCTATTTTTAAGAATCAGCTTTCTATTCAATACTGTGCATTCACAATCTACAAAAGAAAAATTAATTCTTCCAAAGGCAATTCTGCAATTTAAAACTAAAGGATGTGGATTCTCGGGCTGGGGATTTAGCTCAGTGGTTCCGCCGCCTGCCTCACAAGCGCAAGGTCCCAAGTTCAATCCCCAGTACCAAAAAAAGAAAAAAAAGAGGATGTGGATTCTCAGTAAGCAGCCTGTCAGTACCGAGACTGAATGAATCATTGTGACAGGAATATTCAGTAACATAACCCATTGTATTCAAATACTGAAAGGGTCACAGAGCTCTTTTCTGGCAAGAGCTGCCTGGGTGATGGGGCGCAGCCCAGTGGCAGAGCCTGTGCCTGGCTCATCCCCCAGGACTGGGGGAGGGAACTCTGGGAGGAAGCAAGTGGTAGGAAGGAGTCACCCAACCATTCACTAACACGGCGTAGGCAAAAGCGTAGGCAAATGCATCCAGCCGTGTGTGTGATGCCCACTTCTCTACTCTCAGACTGAGGTGCAAGGCTTTCCGTGGGAAAGCAGCATACGAGGGAGGTTTTTGTCTTCTATCGCTGAGAGGAAAACAGAATCTCTCTCAGTCAGGTGTACACAAATGAGAACCGCCAATGCTGCTTTGAGGAAAGATCTTCCTACAAGCCGAGAACTCAGTGTTCTGGGGCTGGGATCACCTCAGAGACAGCCACTGCATGCACGCACTGTCTACAGGAAATCTAAGGAGCCGTGACCCTGCTCCAAGTTGACAGCAGACCCACAAGCCGCACCATGCGTTCCAGCCACCTTGGCTTACAGCAAGCCAGAGTTAAATGTGTTGATGACAGGGTCATCTTGGGAGGCAAAATGCCAGGGAGGAATCTTACAGGAAACCTCTAAATACGCATAAACCAGATTTAAAAAGTTAACAAATACCATGAACTAAAATTTTTAAAACAAATTTTTTTAAAAGACAGTGTCTCACTATATAGTTCAGGCTGGCTCTGGACTCGCTTATGCAGCCCAGGCTAACCTCAAATTTGCATAATCCTCCTGCCTCAGCCTCCTGCGTTCTGGAATTACATGTGTGTGCCAGCATGCCCATATACTAAACTTTAATTCTTCCTATGAAATGCTACATTTGTAAAAATCTGAAGGGGTAAGGACATTTGTTGGTGAGAAAGAAATTAGTATTCATCATATAATAAATATGAAACCGCTCATTCTAATCTATGATAACTATGTCGGTAAAGTACTAGGGTCCCCTTTGTTCTCCCACTCCACACTGATCAGGGAAGCAAAGCTGACTCTTTCAACAGCAAGGCATTACCCCTGCATCTCCACAAAAGCAGTTCAGTGAAACAATACTTTTCCTACAGATCTGAAGCAAACTTTCCACTCCGGAAGCTACAGATGCCCCTCCTAAAGTTTGCATGCCTAGTGACTGAGGGACAAGCGGGCCTGCTGTGCCCAGGACACTCATCCCCGCGCTCTGGCACCATCTCTCAATCTGAACTGAGCACTTATAAAGCCTCGCTGGCTCTCTGGGGTCATCTAGACACCTGTTTACTTTTTTTTTTTGGTACTGGGGAATCAAACTCGGGACCTTGCGCTTGTGAGGCAGGCAGCAGAACCACTGAGCTAAATCCCCGGCCCAAAACCTGTGTACTTTGGCCTTGTTGAAAACAGGCCCTTGGACTCCACAGCCTGCTTAGGGGCAAGCAAAACCGCACCTTACTCGGTGCAGCTTCTCTCTATTGCCTGCCTCCTGTTTTCTCTTAGATGAAAATTAAAGAATACAAAAGCCTCTATAAAAGACAGCAAAAAAGATTTCTGTTTCTGGTTCTTCATACCACATATGACAAATTTTTTGCTGCCTTGCCCAACAGGGGTATGTGCATGAGAACTTACATTCTAATATCAGGTAAAAGCTGTTATTTTATAAAGTAAATGCAATAAAAATGTTTGCAAAAGTAATCGAACCTGAGATTTAAAAAGCAGCCAACAGCATGGTGATGCAGGCCTGTAATGCCAGTCACTGGGAAGCTGAGGCAGGAGAATTACGTAAGTTCGAGCCCAACCTGACCAATTTAGGGTTTCAAAATATTAAAAAACAACAGCCACCTGGAGCTGTAGAAGCAGAGCTCTCGCTTAGCGTGTCTGAGGTTTACTGGTTCAGTGGGAGGGGGCACAACGAGAGAAACAGATTTTAGACACAAGTGGGGGCCCAGCCTCCAAGTCCTTTCGTTGGGAGCCTGAGAACCATGGGTCACTAACGCCCACTCAACTCGAATCCTTTACAGTATTCAGGAATAAGGCAGAAACAAATACCTAACTTTGCAAGTTAAAGAAGAGATTCATTCTCACTGATTTTCTCACCCACCACGGCGGTGATGGTTCAGCTTGAGACACCTGGACCGGGAGGTGCACTCTGGGGGCTGGCCAGGTCGGGAGGGTGACCTAGGCCCTACCTGGCCCCTTCCTCTCTGGCCCTGCCCCTTCTCCCCTTCCTGACTGCATGAGGCAGGAGGCTTTGCTGTGTCAGGCCTTCGCCATGGCGTTTCTGTCCGGGAACCAGCAGAAACTGTTAACCAAATACGGCTCTGAAGTTGTGTGTGTCAGGAATTTTGTCCCAGCAATGGGAAGGTGGCCAAAGAAATAGTCATTGCTCAGGGCCAGGGATTTAGCTCAGTGGTGCCACCGCCTGCCTCAAAAGCACAAGGTCCCAAGTTCGATACCCGGTACCAAAAAAAAATAAATAGTCATTGCTCAGTATCTGGGGCACTGGTGTTGGGACCCCAGGGGTGACAATATCCCCAGATGCTTAAGTCGCTTACACAGAATGGTGCTATATTTGCATATAACCTACACTCACGCTGTTACTTAAACCACCGCTCCATTTCTTTTGGGGTACCATGTACACAGCTGATGTACTGGTTCAGCCCACAGATGAACACAGTCGACTGTATTTCTACTCTGTCTACAAATTCACTTGGCATAGTGTTATCAAAAGTTCATCTGACCCGTCCAAGGCCCTGTGTTCGTGTTCCACCAACATACTTACTGAATTCATTCCACTGAACAAGTCTCCTGACCCGACATGAGCTGTGTGTACAAAGTTTGTTGGCTCTCCGATCATACTGCGGTCAATTCGTCGCCGCCTTTTCTAAAACATGAAGAATAACATTAAGAAAAGTTATTAACAAAAATTTATTCTGACGGGTTCTTACACCTATGGATAGGTAACTTTAGTAATGAATTTGCCAATAACACAAAAATGCCTTAGACCATCAAAATTACCTCTTAGGAAATCCCCAAGAGAAGTCTATACACAAAATAGGATCAGCAGAGCAAAATAATTATTATTATTTATAATTTAATGATATCAGGGCCAGGGATTTAGCTCAGTGGTGCCACCGTCTGCCTCACAAGCCCAAGGTCCCGAGTTCAATCCCCGGTACCAAAAAAAAACAACAACAAAAAAACTTAATGACTGATATCAGTCAGGCTTTGGTCATCCACATAGTTGCATAAGCACATGTTTTGTTCATGCCAGATGGGTATCATGAATGGTATAACAAGATCTGAGGGAGGCACCTCTCATACACTGGCCTGAAAACCCATTCACACTTTTACATTTCATTCTTTTCTTTTCTTTTTTTTTTTTTTTCTTGGTACCGGGGATCGAACTCGGGTCCTTGCGCTTGCACAGCAGGTGGCGAAACCACTGAGCTAAATCCCCAGCCCTCTTTTCTTTTTTTTTTGGTACTGGGGATTAAACTCAGGACCTTGCGCTTGCACAGCAGGCGGTGAAACTGCTGAGCTAAATCCCCAGCCCCTAACACTGTAGTTTTAAACACTGCTTCACAGCTTTCTTCACTGATAAATTGATTATATTTTGATGGTTTTTACTTAGATTATACTCAACTACCTTATCACACTGGAATGAATCTGTCCATTCACCTGTCCTGCCTGGACAGAGCAGGACTTGGGCATAGTCTAGTCACTGTTTTCTGGTCTTTTCTGGCTGGGAATGAAACCCTGTCTGAACCCAGGATTGCAGGCTGGGACTTACTGACTCTTAATATTTTGCCAACCACTTCTTCCTGGGTGCTGGACCGTGTTTTCCACAAGCCAGCATGTTTGCTCCCACCAGCATGCCCACCGTCCCTCATGAGAGGCAAGCACTTCCCTGGCCTGCTGCTCACCCACGTCTCCCAGCGTTATCTCAGCACTGTCCCGAGCTTTCCTGGTCCCCTGGCTCTGGGGCTCTCACAGGGAAGGCCGTCCGCATGGATGGATCACTGCTGAAACCCCGGCTCGCTCACCTTTCCCCACCGGCTGCTTGCCGCAAACCAAGGCAAGTTACAAACTTGGATTAAGCAGCCTTTGAACATAATAATGTCTCATGTGCTGAAACAGCATGTACATAATAAATCCTAGAACTTTACCAAGACACTCCCGTGTGAGCCCTACAGAGCTCATGCACACATCGTAGAAGTCACTTTTTATTACTTCACGGTTGGATTTTTATTGTTGTATATGAGAGGCCCAAAAGCTTGGTGCTTTATCTTTAAAATATGCATGTCTTCCACCTCCGAGTTCAGCAGTGAGATGGGTATCTTCAGATCTGTTAGGTTTTCCTTCTAGTAATTCTGCATATCACCTTGTGACCTCCCTCTCTAAAACCAGGTTTTCTGTATCACGGCAAAACAAATTTTCTTATTATTTCTTTCATTCTGCTCCGTGTGTTCCTTCTTGTTATTTCCGAAGCTCCTACAATGTGGACCCGTGAATGTGTCCACTATAGCTGTTGAAGTGTCTTATATTTTTAAGTTCTCTACAATGTCACTGTTTTGGAAAGTAACACCATGTGGTCCCTCCCCTCCGAGAATCTATACTGTTCTAAAAGACTACAGGTATGTTAGACTTGCAGGCCAATACAACCTCCACCCTAACTGCTCAGCGCTGCCACTGTAAGGTGAAAGCAGCAGGTCAGCACAGAGGCAACTGTGTGTAGCCTGGACAGTGTATTTACAGGGCAGATGGGCCTGCCAGTCAGTCTGCTGATCCCAGCTTTACATCACTAGCTCTTCAGTTAGAACACTTCACTGTATTTTTTAATTTTTAAGATCTGTATTATGGGTTTTCATTTTTTCTCCTTAACTCCTTACTAGTCCAATTATTTAAGGGATGGCCAAGACTTGCCTAGTTTTCATTAATTTTTTTAACAGGAAATATAAAAATGACAATCTTATCAAATTTATTCAATAACGTTTCTGTGTATGGTGCATTTTAAAACATTCAATACACAACACAACATTACAATCTGGACAGTATCTAGTCTCTGAATTCTCACTGGATTATTGTCTGTCATTGAAAAACACATTACACTGTCATGTTGACCTTTTCTTCTGTGAGGGGCATAATTTCAATAAAATGTCTGCCCACTAAATGGACATGTTGGCTGATGGTTTTGCTATACCATATTTCTCAATTATTTGGTCTATTAGACCTACATTGTAAATAACTTTTAAACCCCCTAGTTTTGAATAAATAACAAATGACTTCCACATTGTTTGGTCCAGAAAGTACATAAATATTTTATACTAATATTCTTTTCCTCACTTTTTGATGACAGGATAGCTCGTTAAATGTTGGTCGACTGTCAACACCACCCACAGAATCATTATGATCACTGACCTCTATGGGAATATTTTTAGTTTCATTTTTTCTGTCCCATTCGATCACTTCTCTGTTATGAAGAGTTGACAGTAAGGAGACACCTTTTTTATCTTTCCATATTATAACAGACTTTTCCTCTCTCCTATGCTAACATTTCTCCCTTTTTCAGATTTTTCTTTTGCAGATCTTTGGCACTTCCTTCCTGCTCAGTCTCAGTGTCCCAAATGTGCCCCAAATGTGCCCCGTTGTGCATTGTAAAAGAGTATCACTGAGTTCTGGAGAAGTATCAGACATACCTAATATACTTAGATGAGAGTTTTTATAGACTGTAGCACAAAATTATAGGTTGTTTTTCACAAATCAAATAAACACTAGTAAAAGAAAATAACCACAACTTACTAGATTTCACTAGAAACAAATATCAAAGGCAAATACAACATTCTAAATTTAAAAGTATGTGAAAAACAGTTGATGTACAACAAATAGACATGTAAGTGCATCTAATGCAAACAATCAGCCGGCTGAAATGCCATCTGCCCAAGCAACGCTCGGGTAGTGATGCCCAGGGGAAACTGTCAAGTGGTTAAAATGCTTGACTGGGTTTCCCCTTGGCACAGGGCAACAGAGGAGCCCCAGTGGACCAATGAATGGGGCCAATGCCCAGGGAGAGAAAGTAAGCAGGGAGGGTCAGCAGCTCCAGGGAGAAACAACCACCAGGGCAGTGCTGCCCCAAGAAAAGCCCGTGGCTACTGTAACCTGAAGAAACAGGGTGGAGTTTCATTCCAAAAGTGACTCCTACCAAAGGGCAGGCTAGAGTTGGAGAAGAAATGCAGTGTAGCACCCACCATATTTGAGAAAAATTAATTGGGAACCATTTTGGCTAAGGGGTTAGTAACACTGATCCACAGATCAATTATAGAACAACAGTGACTTGGTGAAAGACAGCCACAACAGTCAGTCATGGAGAGGGTGCAGGCTAAACACAGAGCCCTGCGAGTTCAAGCCCAGGCCAGGAAAGACGGTCCTCCCCCTCCGTGTGAGAGGCTACGTGGGGTGTGTGCTTACATAGGTGGCTGGGTCTACAAGTGCTGGCATAAAGTCCAGCTGCATACATCCAACACCGAGACCAGTGGTCTGCCTGCCTTCTGGACCACCACGGCAAGGACTTGTCTCGGCTTAGACAATAGCCAGAGTACATAGTGCATGGACAGAGAGGCCTCTGGAACAGGGCAGGCACCTTGCAACCCATGGGTCATAAAGCAAAGGGTCCAAGACTACACACCCTAGAAAGAAGTAGAGGAATTTTTTTGTCTGGATTCATCTCTTCCCCTCATTGAATTTTTGGGAGCTGACATTTTTCCTTCGAATTTTTGTTTCTTGTTCTTTTTTTTAATTTTGATTTTTTTCTTGATTGTTCTTTTCTGTTACTCTAATTCTATTTTACTCCTTAAGGGGATCTATATTTTTTTTTGGTCCCGGGGATTGAACTCAGGTCCTTGCAACTTGCACAGCAGGCGCCAAAACCACTGAGCTAAATCCCTGGCCCCTTAATGGGATCTTTTATTTCACTTTTCTCTCTGTCTTTGCTTTCTTTATTTTTTAAGTTTTACTTTTTCTATACTCCCAACTCCCACCACCCCTCCATTTTCACTAGTATAACCATTAAGATTTCTTAATCATAAGCTAATTCTATGCTAGTACTGTTGAATTCTTTTCTACTGTTAGTGGAGGTATGGTTGTTGCATTTAGTAGATATTTACGTCCATATTTGCTTTGTCTAAGTGTTTATACTATCATCATGGAACACTTTTCTATGGTTGGGATGGTACATTATTGGTTCTGATGATGCGTCATGGCTTCTATCTAGATGTCCTCCCAAAGCCTCATGCACTCATAGAGGGGCCTCTCTTCTGAGGTGGCTGGGTCTAGGGTGTATGAATATCAATTAAGGTGTGATAACTGGATCTGCCCACTGATTGGTTTGGCATTATCCCGGATGTGGGTAAGAGGAAGCCCTACCCTGGCTGTGGGTGGCACAAATCAACAGGCTTATAGCCTGAATGGAATATAAGGGGAAAAGAAGGCAGGCAAGCTTGCTGTCTCCTGCCTGCTCTGCCACAGACTGTTTCTCCTGTGCCGTGCCCCTCTGTCAAAGCCACCCTGCCTTGGAGCCAGCTGACTATGGACTGAAACTTCTACAAACTGGGAGCTTGTGAGCTGAAATAAACCTTTCTCCTTTAATTTGTGGGTGTCAAGTATTTCGTCTCAGCAATGAGAAAAGTGAATAAGACAATATGTCAATATCCAGTTTCTCTTTGACACTCTTACTGCTGCTGATTTTGCTGCCACTGCCAAGGTGGCACACTTGCTGCTATTAATTGGCTTCCTCTATATGCCAGTACCTGGACTGCCTTTGTGTCATTAACAACACTGCAGTCCATCCCTGAAGAACTGGATGCTGGGCCAATTATACTGCATCCA